ATGCATTCTTTAACAGCCACTGCATTCGGCAATCATCTTCTACAGCAGTTCGGACACTGTCTGAGAAACTGGAGGAGGAGAATCCTTCTGCTTAGTTGCCGCGGCAGTCTTTGGAAGAAAGCCTTCAGATGTGGAATCACCCGCCTGATTGGGTTGCTGAGGCTCCAGAAGTGATATGAACCATTCCTGCCAGATTGGGGGGGAATCTTGCCCGACCAAGGTGGTTCGACAGGTTGGAGCTTCAGAGGAGGGGGCCCTGATTCCCAAAATGGTACGATCCCATACTTTCGGAGCCTTGATATAAGATAGCATAAATCATAAATCCGTAGAGCCTATAAAGGAAACGACTACTACTCATGCAGACCCCTACATCCCGCAGCTGGATGTGAAATTGTCCTTTGCTTTCAGGCACAGGGATAAAGCACCACAGAAATTGTGTAGCGACCCCTGATGTCCCCTTACAAACCCCTATCAACCATACTTCCTTGTAATCCCCTATGACCTCATTCTTCCTGGTAAAACCTAACAAGAGGTAAAGAGTGAGCTCACACTGGTCCTGGGTTGAGTCAGTACTTGGGGGGCAGGGGACTTAGTAAGTAGGTTATGAGTAGAGTGATAAGTACCCTAAAACGGAGTTACCCCAATTGTAACCCTACTTATAATTACACGACTTACTAAGTCCCCTGCCCCTCCAAGGGTTTCTAGACTTCGGCTTCGGGGTCTCAGGTTCTACGGTTTTGGAGTGGGAGAGGGTGCAGCCAAGGCACATCCAGCCATGCGGACCCATGACCTCTCCGTGTATTAGCTGCTCAATAGGGTACTTAAAGGATCATGGGACGTAGGGCTCCTTTTAAGGGTACTATAGGGTTCTATACTAGGGTTCCTTAAGGGGATCTATAAGGGTTCTAGCAGGAGGATCATGGGACTTAGTAAGTAGGGTTATAAGTAAAGTAACTGCAGTTAAAACTACTTATAACCCCAATTAAGGTATTTATCATCCTACTTACTAAGTCCCATGATCCTCCAAGTAGTACAAGGGTTGCTGCAAAGGTTCCCTAATGGATTACTACAGAAGGTTATTATGTGAGTTTCCGAGAATTAGGCGTACCTTCTTTTCGGAAACTCCCATGTAGGGCTTCCATGGGGGTCCAGAGTTTTCGGGCTTGTGGTTTAGGGTTTAGGCTTAATCTTTCGGCGCTTAATCTGTCTGCCACTGTGGAGTTGCAGAAACGTGGCACCCGAACATGACCCCTGTAGCTGTAGGATCCCTCTAGCTACTAAAACTTAAACCCTGAACCCTCAACCCATCCAACACACGGACACACATAATGTAGAAACCTGATTAAGAAACCTTGGGCCTGTACTAGGTTTCCTTATATGAATCCCCACTAATTATTTTGGTGTTATAGGCCCAGGGTGTCGAAGTTAATCAGGTTCCTACATTACATACCTAAACCCCAAACCCTGAACCCTGAACCCTGAGCCCAAGGATTCTCGCGACCTCTAGCGATGAAAGCATCTGAAAGTACTGCCTTCTCACTGGTCTGCGGGAAGTTCGGGCCGATGGGCTTGATAGGACCTGGGGGCTTTGAGTTTGGGGCTCGGGGCTCGGGGTTTGGGGCTTAGGGCTTGGGGTTTAGGGTTTTTGAGTTTGGGGCTTGGGGTTTAGGGTTTCAGGTTCGGGGCTTGGGGTTCGGGGCGTGCAAGGGTTCTCGGCTCGGGGCCTGTGTTCGCACCCAACCGAGCACCTAAACAAAACCGTAAGGCTAGGATGTCCCATAAACCTCTTTTGCAAGCAAGCCGAGACGGTTCAATACGCAGGAATATCCCACCCAAAAGGTGTTGTTCTTGCTGTTTGGGATGCTGGCTTTAATGGCCCAAAATGTGCCTAGACATATCGGTAGCAGGACTCGAAGGGCCCTTGTAGTGATCCTTAGCGGAACCCTTATTGAAACCTGAGTGTGCAAGTCAGCCCCAATAAGGACCTCCTGCAGAAACCCTTGTTGTACCTCCAACACGAAACCCTTATACTAGAGGGGCCTTAATAACTAGAATAGGGTTTTGGGGCCCATTATTCTATAATTATAGTAAGGAACCCCCAAAATAGTACAGGTAATTACTGGGCCCGTACATTAAATACCTTAAAATGCCCCTGAGAGTAATCCTTGCAACCCTATAGGTTATTATTAAGGCCCCTCAATTAAATCCTTACAATAGCCACTATATTATAGTACCCCATATACACCCCTGTAAGAAGAACCCTATAATAAGAATTATTCAGGCCCCTGATATAGAACCTTACAGATACCTTTATAGTAGCTCTTACAGGAAACCTACAGGTAGTTATTAAGGCCCCTATCTTAAATCCTTATAAGTGCCCTTATAGTAGCCCTCATACACCCCTTTCCCAACAAGAAACCCTTGCAATAGCCCTTATAGTAGCCCTTATAGACCCCTTCAAAAGGGACCCTTAAAGGAACCTCCATTCCCTACTAAGAACCATTGGGGTAACTATACTTATAGTTGCTTATAACACCCGATTTACGGTACTTATAGTACCTTCTGAGCCGACTCCCAGTGCTCTCCACCCCGCGCCTTTGGACACGGCGCCGCGGAGCGGCAGAAGAGCCTGGCACCTGACCCGAGCAAGCAAAAACCTTTTAGGGTTCCTTTAACAGGATCCTATAGGGTTCCTTTAAGGGCTCCTATAAGGGATTCATATAGTAGGATCCCTAAGATGATTGAAGGTATATTCCTTACTTAAGGGATATTGGAGTCTCTGAGCAACATGGGGAGTTCCAAGCTTCGGTGTTGCAGGAAATATAGCGGGTGAAAGTTTTACCAATACTATCTTGGGGCTCCTTATTATTATAGTTGTAGAACCCTACGCGAGCTATATGGGAACTAGGGTTTAGGGGGGATCTTCGTATGCTATATGAGTACCTTTAGTTTAGGGGCTACAAACAAAGGCTACGGCATTGGCAACCATGAGGCTCGGGGTTCCAACAAAAGTTGCGACACAGGGCCCCAAACCCTAAACCTTAAGGGGTCCTTTAAAGGGGTCTAGAGGATCTATCGGGGTCCTTTAAGCTTTTTTTTGAAGGGGCCTAGAATATTTATAGGGCCCCAGAAGCGTTTCGATGAAGCCTTGGGGTTTACGGTAGTTCCTCGGTTCCAGAAAATCACGGCTTCCGGGCCCTCCCCGAAACGAGAGAGCCTTGAGAAGCTTGGAGCTTTAGAGCTTTAGGGCTTTAGGGTTTTAGGGTTTGGGGTTTAGGGTTTTAGGGTTAAGGTTTTGGGGTTTTAGGTTTTAGGACTTAGGTTTTAGGGCTTTAAAAGGGTTTTAGGTTTGCTTTTTTATGGGCCCTTTTCCGTCTTCCCTTGCATCCGAAACCCCAAAGTTGAGCTTTAGGGTTTTAGGGTTTTTTGGACACGACTGAAACAGCAAAACTCCAAGCCTGAGCCCTGAAGCCTAAACCCGAAAGCCTCCGCAGGCAAACCCTCATGGAATCTGGAAAGGACATGCCCAGTCGGCCAAGGCTAAGCGTAAAAGGGACCCTTAATAAGGACCCCTAGGTATATACCCTTCATATAGCTATTATATACCCCATTATATAGCCCATTACAGGGTAGGGGTCCCCATTAAGGGTCCCTCCTTTTCCCCTTAGATGTACACCATCAGACAAACACTGGCCCGTAGATAAGCTTAGGGCTGAAGGTTTAGGGGTCCACAGAATAAAATGACGACTACAACTTGGGGGTTCATGGGACTTAGTAAGTACAGTTGTAGGTACCCTAACTGGGTTATATCCAAATATAAGTAAAGTTACGCTGTTTATAACCATAGTTACTAAGTCCCATGAACCTTTAAGAACGGCCAAAGGATTAAAACGGAACTCCAAGAAAACACTTACGTGTAAACACTCGAGGGCGATCTTCCTGCAAGGGGTGTAGGCTTCAACAGCCTTTGCTTCGGTGTTTGTTGGTGCCTAACTTACCTTTGGTTAGTAGGGAATGGAAGATGGTAGAAATAGTAGTTATATTTCTACCCCATTCCTCCATTCCCTACTATAACCAAAGGTAAGCTAACGAACCCTCAAAGCTAAAGTCCCAAAGCCCGACCTGGCAGTGGCTCGTCGAAGGAGTCCCGCCATCAGCTCGAAGTTGGGCGGCCTGTCAGATTTAGGGCTCTATTGTCTAGGGCTTTGGCGTGCTTGGGTTTTTAGGGCTTCAGGGCTTTGGGGTTCTTACGCTTAGGACTAAGGGTTTCCGTAACTGCACAAGCCGTGCTCGCGTTCTGTGCGCGTGCGCATGCGACACTTAGCCTTGCTGGCACTCACAAGATCAACCTCGTGCCGGTTTGGGGTTCAGCATTCAAGGCTTAGGGTACTTGAAGTTGAGACATGGCCTTTGGACATGCTACCAAACACTTCACGCGTGACGTGAACCTGGGGCCCGGGCGGCTGCCACAAGGTGTCGCACCAGCAAAGACGTGCGCTGAGAGCCCAAGGAAGCGGAGCGTTGTACAGTTCGTATGGTTGGGTCCAAGCGGTCGCCCTTCCTTCCCCTCCTCTTGAAGCCCTGACGTCAGGGGCCTTAGGGGGCCCGAAGCATGCACGCATAAATAATATATCACAGAATCCCTGTGCGCGCTCAACAACGCCCTAAAACCCTGCCTTGCATGCGCACGCGCTGTTTTCCAATCATCATGCGGAGTCTTTGGCTGCTGGCCTACCTGGCACTAAGCAGCATCCGGCTTGATCCTGGCCAAGAAAGCCAAGGGCATAGTGCACCCGCTTTAGGGTTTAGGGTTTTAGGGCTTAGGGACTTGATGCCCGGTCGCACTCGTCACTAGTACTTAGTAGCGTGGCCCCCCTGCCGTGAGACTGGCGAAGTCCTTGGCATGCAGGTGCACCATGTGCTTAAACATCGAAAATTGCCAAGCAGATCGAAGGGAATCTGCTGAAAGACCTGCGACGGCATCCGCAGAGTGTGCGGATTCAGTCTTCCGACGACTCCTCGCTCTCTGCACACTCGTTCTCTGCATCGTCCTCACTATCGCTCCAGTCCATGGCAGCTTCCACCGTTTTCTCCAGGGTGAAAGTCCGGATGAGGTTGTCAAAGCCATCCTCGGGCTTGCAGAAGATCCCCCTTTTTGTACCGGCTTCTTCCAGCAAAAGGAACCCCGTTTGTTTACAGTACTATCAGCGCCATGGCAACTTTTTAGCAAGGACCCTCTCTAAGCCTCCACGAGAAAAGAAGAGCTCCTAAAGCTCCGACTCTTTCCAGGAAAGCAGCTGAGATAAGTCGACAGGCTCCTTGGCAGCCGATGGTGGAAACGTACATCCGCCTTCGGTTTGGGCTGTGGAGTTTAGGGTCTGTACTTGGAGGTTCATGGGTAGTTATAAGTGGGGTTATAAGTAAGATAACTATAGCTGTAACCCATATTGGGGGACTTCTAACTCCATGTATATATACCCATGAACCTCCAAGTAGGGTATTAGGGGCCAGGGCTCAAGGTTCCTCGCACGCCGTGGACAGACACAGCTGCGTTTCCGTGCGGGTACTGGTTTGCGTCTCGGAAACTGAGCCCAAATGGGAGTTTCCGAATTCAGGGGTACCTATCTTGGGGTCCTTATAATAAGGATCCTACTATTTAGGGCTTAGGGTGCTATATTAGGGTCCCCTATGTTCGGAAACTCCCAAATCTGCATGTCGAGGTAGAGCACCCCAGCAAATGAAAATACTCCTCCTGCTCCTCCTACTCGTGCTGCTCCTGGCTGCTCTGGATGCTTCCGCTGCTGCTGCTGCTGCTGCTGCCACAAGTAGTCCGCCTACTGATACTATAATTAGACTGCAATTTTGGGGCCCAGTTTACTATACTTATCATAAGGAACCCCCTAAATATGTAGGCAATCAATCTGATACCGCAACCACTCCAAAGACCACGGCCGTGACCACGACCGTGACTCCGGCTACTGCTACGGCGACGACGCCGGCGACTAGCACGACGACTACTACTGCTACTTCTACCCTCAACCCTAAACGACTACCACTGCTACTTCTACACCTTGTAATCCGCATTCTGCTGCCTGCCTACGACGATCACTTTGACGACGACACGAGGACTGCTACGGAAGCATCAGGATTCGGAGTCGAGGCCCCGATGCCACAAGGGAGGTTCCAAAAACAGGGGTACCTTATTTTTGGGGGCCCTTATAATAAGGATCCTACTATTTAGGGTATTATGTTAGGGTCCCCTATTTTCGGAAACTCCCACAAGGTTCGGTGGCTTTTGAATCGAAGGCGAGTGGCCATCCGGACCGCGCCCAAAGCTTCTCAAGGCCAGCTAAGCTGCTCCAGCGAACCATCCGAACTCGGATGAGCAGCAAGGGTCAGTCGAGAGGGTGTAGGAATGGAGTACGTGCAAACTCTGGGCGCTGATTCGGCTGCAATGGATCCGACCAACTCGCACGACTCGGAAAACCGCACTAGTCAGTCTTCCTCCCAGGCACGGGTACCGTCGCGGCACACCGTCAAGATGTGGCGTGCTATCGGCATGACCTAAACTCAAACAATCATGCACAACGATACACGTTGTTTGTTTTTCAGGGCTCAGGGTTTCGGGTCGAGGGTTTAGGAAACAGCGTAGGTTGGCTTACTGTAACACATAAGGTAGCAAAGCGAGCACTTCCGGTGGAATCTCAAAACCTGGCTCTCTTACGCTGATCGGCACAGATCCGGCACAGCTCATCTGCAAGGCAAAAAAGCCCCTAAGCCCCTTAGCCCTACCTACGACCTTTCTTCGGCCCAGAAGGCGGCAGAGATGATGTCCCCTTCGGAAGTCAGCCGCTGCCTGTGGGGAGTGTGGAGGAAAACAACCAACTTCACCCCTGGGCCCACAGTTTCGGGCTTACTGCCTCAGTGGTACAGTCCAAGGCCTTTCAAGGCTTGGGCCTAGGTTTCAGGTTTAGAGTCGAGTTTAGGGTCGCTCGGATCTTCTGCTGGCAGTGCGGTCGAGGATCATGGCACGACAGCTGCCGCCGCAAATCAGGGCCAGCGCACCGTCCACTCCGCCGACAGCTACCTGCGAGGCTGTTCCCGAACGCACTGCCTGAGGGCTGCTGGGACTTAGTAAGTACAGTTCCAATTATAAGTACAGGTACCTTTTTTATAGCCATAGTTACTAATAAGTCCCATGAACCTTTAAGTGCCCTAGCGGCCTGGAGGCTGGACTCGCTCAGGAAGCTTTTTGGCCATCTGCGCATCTCCAGGCATTCCCGCAAAGGCGCCTTCCGGACACGAAAGCGAAGGCGACCACCAGAAAGCTTAGGGTTTAGGGTCTACCTAGACCCCAAAATTATGTAGAATAACAGCCTTTTATATGTTTTGGGCCATTATTTTGCCTACTTTTGGTGGTTTAGGTAGGGGGGTTTCTCTCCCTCAGATGCTGCCCTGTCCTCCAAGAAGACAGCCAATGAGGCGCCAGGCACCTTTGCCCAGAGAGCCCAATACCCCGGAATTAAGCAATATACCAGGGTTTAGGGTTTAGGGTTTAGGGCTTCATATTATGATTTAAGCTATATTCCTTAATTAAGGGGTATTGGGCTCTCTGGGTGCCAGTCATTTGACGCGCACGACAAGGCTAAGAGCCTCAATGGGCTCCTGGCTTTTAGGGTTTAGGGTTCCTTTAAAGGGTACCATAAGGGTTCCTTTAAGGGATCTGTGGGGGTTTAGAGCTTTGGGTTCAGGGTTTAGGTTTATTTAAGGGCTTAGGGGTGAATCATGGTGAATCTATAAGAGATCTGGTGTGACATTTAGGCTTTGAGATCTCCGATGCCAAACGCTGAGTCAGAGGCCTGGCATACCACCTGCTTCAGGACCGTCACCCTGGCTGATGTCTCCTCCGTCGCACGGCAGCGAGAGGCAACACAGGCGAGCATTGTACGTCTCGAGAAAGAGATGCACAGGGACAGATCTCTTCTGGAAATGTCTACGTTTTACTTAAGGTCTAGGGCCTGAGGTCCCTCTTTAAGGGTCCTTTAATGTGGACCCCACTGCCGGGGCTCGATAGTTCAGGTAGTTCTTACAGGGGCTCCTCTACTATTCTTCAGAGCGGTCTGCACGGATTCCTTGTTGGGATCCCAGAAGCCCTAAACCCTAAATCCTAGACCCTAAATGCTTTTGGGATCCCAGAAACCCTAAACCCTAAATCTTAGACCCTAAACCCTTTTAGCATCCCAGAAACCCTAAACCCTAAATCCTAGACCTAGACCCTAAACCCTTTTGGCATCCCAGAAACCCTAAACCCTAGACCCTCGTCAGATCCCAGGGTTCCTTCGTTCCCCGAACCGAGGCAGACCGGCCTCCGCAGAGACTGCCAGCTCCACCTTGGCAGGTCCAGGTGCGCACCGGCTCGTCTCAAACAAGTTAATAACAACCATAACAATAGCAACAAGAATAGCAATCATAATGAGAATCATAGTAATGCTACTCGTATTAACAATAAGCACAAAAAACAATAGTGATAATGATGGTAATCACACTAATCATATACTCTATAAAAATGTTTCTACAAGGGTTACGAGACGGGTTTGTATATGGCTTACTATAAAAACGGCCAGAAGGCTTTCTTCTATTGGGGATTGAGGTTTGGTTGGGGCTTGAGGTTTTGGGTCTGGTTTGAGGTTTACGGCTTTGGTGCTAGGATGGTTTGGGCAACTGGCATTCAACAGAACGACGTAATGGTTCTCAAGCCAAGCAGCCACGCTGAGGTTGGCTGTCGCAAGAACGCGGGCGTCACGCCCATCCTCTTAGAATGGGAAGGTTCAGGGATCAAGACACAACAAAGCAGGTGCTCCGGTCGACATGGCAAGTATTCATGGAAGATGTGATGCAGCTGCGGATGAATGAGCTGGGCTGCAAGGTTTATGGTGCACGATAGTTCACAGCCCATGACGCATCTGTCTACCTCCAGAACTGCTGGCAACAGACACTCATTCTGCTAGAACCGCTCCACCTTCTTAACAGCCCTGAACAACAGGATGCTATCGTCCCTGGTTTGCATCAGGGTCCTCTTATCTTCTGACACAATCATCTACTGTTGAGAACGAAACCTAGCAGCCTATTTGCGAGAGTTTTCGTGCTTAAGCTGAAGCAAAACACGCAATTCGGAGACGCTGCTTTACGGTCACAGAATGACACACACACACACACACACAAACAACACACACACACACACACAGACAGACACGCCTTAACCCCTGAACGTCCTCTGCCAGGATTCGAAGGCAGCGGCAAGCGCCTGGAGGGGCAGGTCTTTCACAGGTTCTAGGGAGGTGTATGGGTAGTTGTCAACATTGGGGTCCCTTTTTGGGTCCCAAATATAGTACGGCACCTAATATTTAGGGCACCCAAAAGGGATCGTAGTTTTGACAACTACCCGATATGGGATTTGATGGGCAAACATTAAAGCCCCGAGGGTGAGCAAGTGGTCTGCTGTGTGAAATCGCAGTGTGCTATCAATCGGAGGCCTCACAAGGTGGGATGAAGGTAGGTGGGATTAAGGATCCCTCATATCAGGACTCTTATTTGGGAATATCCCACCTACCGTCACCCTACCTTTTGAGGCCCCCGATATCAACCCCACATGCCTGGCAGCGCTGCTCTGCACTCCAGCCCTGCGGTCCCAGACAGTCTCCAAAGCAGAAGGTGCTGATCCTGCAGTTGTGGGAAGGACACGTCTTTGCTGACAATCCCAAACACACACTTAAACCTAACCCTAAACTCAAGGCCTTTACATTGAACCCTGAGGTCCTAAACTCTGGAAACTCTGACATCCTAAACTCTGGAAATCCTCAATCGAATAATCAGCAGAACATCAACTCTGATACAAATCCTGCAAGTAGTAGGGCCCTTGTAATCGAAGCTTTGACAGACACCTTCATACAAAAAGAAAAACCCCAAAAAAAAAACACACACCCCTGCTCTCCAGAAACCGCCTCTTTTGAATCCGGGGATCCAAGCTTCCAGAAAGACCATATCCGGCTAAGAGGCCATCCTGCCATGAGGGCGATATGGGGTTTAGGGTTTAGGGGGCAGGTCATGCTTGAGGGATTGGGGCTTTGGGTCTCATGGGGCTTTTGGGGTAGGGTTTTAAGGATGTTTTCTTGGTTTTGGCCCTGTGTGCATCAAGGTTCACCAGCTGTTGTACAGAAACTGGTGCGAATGAAGTTGGGTAGTTCTCGAACTTAGGATCCCCTTTTCAGGTTCCAAAAGCACCCTTTAAAAAAAGTACCTTTTACAGACCCTAAACCCTAAACCCTTTAAAAGAAGGACCCTGTAAAGGGGACCCTAATTTAGAGAACTACCCAGTTGCTTCAAGCCTAGATTCGGCAGCCCCTGGTCCAACTTCATCAATGTTATTCTTGTGGTTACTATCATTAGTATTATTAGTATAAATAGTATTATTAGTATTATCAGTATTATTAGTATGATTAGTATTGTTAGTATTAGTAGTATTATTATAATGTGGAATGTTGATTATTATTGTTGTTGCCGTTATTACTACTACGATCATCATCAAGATCATTACCATTTTCAGTAATCTGTCGTCGTCGCCGCCGCGGTGGTGGTGGTGGTGGTGGTGGTGGTGGTGGTGGTGGTGGTGGTGGTGGTGGTGGTGGTGGTGGTGTTTATCGCTATGATTATTGTTGCTCCAGTCACTGTGTTGTTATTTTGTGATTCTTATTATGCTCTGACTGATATCTATATTATTATTGTTACTTGTAATGTTATTAGTCTTCTTGTTATTGTCCAGGATGTCGAATTGACGGAGGGCGCTTAAACATCCCCGCGCCTTGAACAAACCAACCGCTCTCACAGAGTCGGCGTGGCCCTCAAACCTTGGAGCACATGACTTGCATGGAGCATGACATATTGCGGCTTCTGCGTGACCTCCTCAATCATGCCGAAAAAATCAAGGCCAGTAAATGCCGAACAAGGCAAACAAAACCGCATAGAACCCTACAGAACCTTTCAAGAACCCTTCTAAGAACCCCAAAAGCTGTTAATCCTGTCTTGCAACGAGATGCTTCCGCAAGGCTGTCCCTTGTCGGTTCCAAAGATGCACCGATGCATCCCGAGGCGGGCGGCCGTAGTAACCTGCGAGGTTGGAAGGTTATGGGGAGCTGAATTCCTGCTCCTTCTCCTGCTCCTGCTGCTGCTGCTGCTGCTGCTCGTTGTGGCAGCCTGATGGAAAACTTTCTGTGGTAAAACTGCAACCCATGGAAGCAAACTGCGGCAGACGAAAGCGGCGCGGGACTACATGTTGAGTCTCACTCGCAACTCGCACATGCGAAAGTTCCAAGTTAAGGTGGTTGTGTCAGAGTTCCCACGATATTCGTGCCGCTTGCCTGGATCACCACTCCCTGACAGCACGAAGTCGCGGTTCAGAGCGACCGCTAGGACCTCAGCGTGACGGCTGTCTTGACAGGGTTCAAGAACAGCAAGCCACGAGGTGTCTCAAACCCTGCGAGTAGCCCCACTTTCGTCGAGCACCCCTTTTGTGAGCTTCGCAGCCTTTGCAAGTGACCGGACAATGGCGATTCCTTGAAACCCAAACCTCGTCGTTGTGGCGGCCGTTGAATTGCCACCGCTCGCCAGATTCCCAGTGGACGGCCTTTTTCGGATCACCATGTGATGCGAACGCACTGGGATTGCTGCAGATTCAATCGAGCATGGTCTAGAGCTTGGGAGCTCAGCTATGCACACCTATGCAGCTTCATCCCATGTGGGGTTTCCGAAAATGGGGGACCCTCATATAGTACCCTAAATAGTAGGATCCTTATTATAATGACCCCAAATAGGGTACCCCTGTTTTCGGAAACTCCCATGTCGTCCCCTCCATCACTGCTTTGCTCTCGCCTCCAAGGCTCCATTGTAGAGGCCGGCCACGAGAAGCTCGTCGTCGCATGCCCAGGAGCGCCTCGCAAAGTTAATATAGCGGCCTTCATCAGTGCCTACGCTACTTTGGGGGGGTTCCCTACTATAACTATAGTATAATGGTATAATCACTGTTTTGGGGTTCCCTACTACAATTATAACATAATAGGACAGTGGGCCCTAAACCTTGTTCTGGTTATAAAGATGGAAGGGCTAGTTGTCAAAGCTACAGTTACGGTGCACCATAGCTTGGTAACCCGGAAGAAACACCCAAAATATGTTTCGGAGCACAGGAAACTCGAGAGCATCCATCATCTCTGAAGCGGATCTGCTGACGCAGCATGAGAGACAGATATTAATATTTCAAACCCAAAGTAGCGGAATGTACCGAACACCACATCAAGGATCCCTGAACTGCTTAAGGTTTGCTGCTTAATTGGGGTTTAAGAGTCTCGAGGGTGCACGCTTTTGTTCGATTCTGATGCCTCGCAACAACTGACTTCTTGCAGCAAGTCATCTAAGCAGACCACACGAAGCTTCCAAAGGCGAGCACCGCCTCTTGTCCTCGGATATGGGAGATGCTTGAAGGCTACGGACTGCTGTGCGCCTACTCCCTTGTCTTTTCAATGCTTGAACGAGCTTGGGCCGTTTACAGAAAAGGGATCGAAGTGAAAAAGACACAGCGCATTTAGCAACATGGATCTGCGCATGGTAGATCTCGAATGGGTCAGGGAGCTTGGCATGCCGTGGCCGTCAGCAACACAGACACACATACACACACACACATACATACATCCACAGAGAGTGCACCACCAGTGCGAGCAGAGAGGCGGAGGGCTCCCAAGCGCCACCGCGCCTTTGATTTCCGGGTGAAGACTGAGCTCTGAGGCTGAGGTGTCTGCACGTCATCTGCAGATTGGAACGACTAGAACCCTTTTTTGAGAAAAAGTGATGTTCGCACTATTTGTAACATGAGCTATTGCACGATCCTCAAAGTAGACTTCAGTGCAATGAATCCTCCGGCCTATGCCGGCATTGGACCAAGACTGGATGCACGATTTGTGACCTCCACCCAACCGTACGCAGCAACTTCCGGTCCTCATTGTCGGCTTCGGTCTTGAGAGCATCTCCATACAGACGAGGCCAAACAGCCTGCAAGGGGCTGAAAGCAAGCTGTGAGACCAGCAACCCGGACAACGCGACAAGGCAAAGTATTCCTTAAATCATACCAAAGATCCTGTCTAGTACAAGGTATATTCCTCAATCAAGAAGCTTTGCAAAAACAAGGCATGTATTCCTGTCGTTGCTGCTGCTGCTACTACTACTCCTCCTCCTGCTGCTGCTGCGACTATTCCTACTCCTACTGCTACTCCTACTCTTACTCACTATGGCTTTCAATTCTGCGATGACTATCATTTTTGCTCTGAATACCAGTGTCACTCTCACAAGTATTCCCGTGTTGCGATTATTCCTCTCTTACTTGTTGACATGTTTCGTTACTATTAATGATGATTCTTGTTGGTATATGTGTGTATTTCCTACGATTAATTAATGATTACTATGACTATTATCATTGTTATTGTTATTGGTATTCCATTACAAGTAGCATTACCATTAATAATATTATCATTATTATTATCATTGTTATTGTTGTGGGTATTATTGCGAGTTCTGGTATCTTTCTCTGAATCCCTGCCTCTTCGGGAGCCTTTCTCTCGAATCGCCAGTGGAAGAGCTGCCCCCAGACCGCGGCCTCGTGAAAGGGCGGTGGGTTTAGGATTTAGGGTTTGTGGTTTCGGGTTTAGGGTTCAGGGTTTAGGGTTTAGGGTTTGGGGTTTAGGGTTTGGGGTTTAGGGTTTGGGGTTCAGGGTTTGGGGTTTAGGGTTTGGGGTTTAGGGTTTGGGGTTTAGGGTTTATTTTGGGTTTAGGGTTTGGGGTTTAGGGTTTATTGAGGGTTTCCTTTAAGGGGGTCTAGAGGGGTTCCTTCAGAGCGAGTGGCCTACAGGGTTTACTATAAGGGTTCCCATAAGGGTTACTAAAGGGTTGAGGGTTGTGGGTTTAGCTTTTAGGTTTCGTTTCTGGGTTTTAGGGTTAAGCGTTGATGAAGGGCGGGTTTTGAAATTTGGGAGCCTTGGTTGGGGGGTTCTGGTCATAGTAAGCCTGGTAGCACTGGCAGCGATAACCATGAACGAAAGAAGAAAAAGAAGAGTAGCAATAGTCGAATCAACATAATAAGGCCAGTGATGACAACCATCACCATGATAGTCATAACCGTAATCATCACAATAATCATCATCATCATCATCATCATCGTCATCACCAAGAAGCTTAACAATACGACTATCGCCGCCGTCAAAATAATCATAATGACCGTCGTAATCATAGTAAGTCTAAGAAAACAATGTTCATTGCGATCCTAAAGGGCGATCGGTCACCCCGACCTCTGCCACTTGATTCCGCCAGCTGAGGCTGACCCCACGTAGGGCAAGCAGCGAAGAAACCTCACTTTCAGAGTGTTTCGGGATTCGTGCGTCGCCAGATCGAACTGGGATTCAGGAGTTTAGACGGTAGGCTGTAGGACCACTGTAGGGCTTCAGGAACTAGGATATGATCTCACACATCCTATCGCTTTTCTTGCCCCCTGACTGCCTTGAGAGTTGAGCACACAGCTTCCACTCAAGTTCTTGTGACCCATCCCACCAGAATTGGATTCTCACCATGCTGCGCACCAGATGTTGAAGCCGGACCGTTCTCGGAGCCCAAACAGAACCCCACTAATGTCCGCGTGGTTTCTCTAAACCCCAAGCTCTGTCAGGGGGGTAGGTTTTCCCAACATCAGCTTCTGTGCGCAAATCAGCGGTCCAGAGGGCGCGGAGGTGGCCGGTCAACCGTCCGAACCGCTCCTGCCAAGAATTGCTTAAGTCCTCTTTGTTGCTATGCTAGACTGTATTATATAGGGCCGCAAAAAGCCACATAAGCAAAAATTAGGATAGGGATATCCCATATAAATCCCCTTGTAATGAAGCCCAACAAGGTAGGGATATCCCCACAAAATGCTTATGCTTATGTGCTTTGTGGGCACCTAATTATAGTACCTCTATTGTATTGTTTTCGAAGAGGAATATACACGGAGTTGTGGTGGGGATCCTTGATATGGGCTCTACACGGTTTATGCGGGCTCACAGGCTTCAAACCCATGCATTGAGAAATGTTGAAGATGGCTGAATGCAGCAGTATTGTGCTCTTTAAGACGTTCTGCACCAATCCCTAAACCCCCACAACCCTTAAAGGAACCCCTAAACCCCAAACCCTAAACCCCAAACCCGAAACCCTAAACCTTAAACCCCAAACCCTACACCCTAAACCCCAAACCCTAAAACCTAAACCTTAAACCCTGAACCCCAAACCCCAAAGGAAACTCCCACAAGTCGCCCGTCCAGGACGTCCAGAGCTAGATCCGATGGCAAAGCGCCGGCCATGTGACCCAAGGGGGCGCGGCTGCCTAGTACTCTACTGCATCATAATGTAATATAGGGTTTAGGGTGTAGGGTGTACTGCATAATCTTACCTTTGTACAGTTATAACTACTATTACTACCATTCTTCCATTCCCTACTAACATATACTAACCAAAGGTAAGTAATGTAATATACTATAATGTACTATACTGTACCTTACTACAGTCAAACATACTAGACCTTGCTACAGTGCAATATGCGTAGTGCAGTACAATACAGGACAGTCTGGTGTAGTGTCGGTTCTGGCAGCCGAGCCAATAAGGCTGTAACAACTAGAATGTGGCGTTGGGGTATCTCATGCTATAGCTGCAACAGGCACTGTACGAAAACACTGTTAATACTTATTCTGACCCCGGTCTTCGACTCAGAGGTTAGTCTAAACGCTAAACACTAGCTGAGTTCAGTTTCACTCCCCGAAGCTAAGGTGGATTGAAGCACGCTGCTACCTTTCGGCTGAACTTCGCAGCGGCAGTAAAACGCTGGCGCCCGAAATGAGGGAAGATGCGCACCGAGGGCGTGTCAATTCGATGCGACACTCTGTCTGGCTTCCTGCATACCTCTGAGTTTTGCGGCACAAACACATAACACTTGACTATGACTTCGGCCCTAAACCCTAACTAAACCCCAAACCATAAACCATGGCTCTAGGAGAACAGAACGGCATCCTGAAAGAAAGACCTACACGTAAGCAACAGCCAACAGCATGCAGGCTCGCACGTCGAAGGCGGCCCGGCCCTTTCTCCCCGGTTTTTCATGGCACAGATCTTCGAGAGGACAGGCAACAGCCTCGTTTCGGAGGGTCCCCATTTGCTGCTGTTTGGGGCGCTTTGGGCTGCCAGTTGGGTTCTGTGTATCTGACTCCGCGTCCCTGACATGAAAGACACTGGCACTGCAAAACTTAACGTAATCATGATATGCTCACGAAACCCTGCAACTGGCGAGTCCTGCCACGGGCGTTTCATGACTGCTGTGGCACTGTCCGAGAAGCCAGCAGCGTGCGATGCACCGCTCAAAGCGAGAAAGTCACCTCGAAATCCGTGTGTTGTGGACAACCAAGATCAGCGCTCATCACTCCCTCATCTGCTCTTCCCAAAGGTCTGTGTAAATCTATCCCAAGAGTGTGTCGAGTAGTCGTCGTCGCTTCCACCAAAGCTCCTTCCCATTCATAACAGGCACAACACGCCATGGACTCTGGCAAAGCCAAGCCACCTGCGACCTCCTCGGGCATCCCGGCAGTGCCATTCAGCTGGCGGCGTTTCGGCACGGGCAGCTGCCCAGGTTGCAGAGGCTACTGTAGCTCTCTTCTCCTGACCAACGAATGGCCGGAATTTCTCAAACCTCCTTCCGTGCTTCCCTAACTCGCCTCAAAAGCCTTTTCAAGTCTGCGAAGGCCTAAATCATTGAACTACATATCGTGCAAGGTTATAGTTTAATTCAGGAGCCCGCTCGAGAACCGTTGCAAAGTCGAAGCTTCGCACTCCTTCTTCGAGGCAAACCCTTGCGCGAGACCCCATAGGCAGAAACGCAAGGCTCGAAGAGTCCGACCTTCTTTTCACCGCCGCAGTGTCGGTCCTTGGCTTCACCCTCGTTAGCTCGGGCACTGCGGTCGTGGCACCACGAATACCGAAAAACATAACCTCCTGTCTTTGTACATCAAGAGCAGGGAAAGGTTACGTTAGGCACTTGTTCAGGGCTGTCAACCTCGACAGAGGTTGGGCAGATGCTCCGGGGCTTTGGACCCTCGGTAGCTAGTGCTGCACAGTCGCAGCACCAAGAACAGTCACCAAAACATAAAGCGTCGTGTCTTTGACACTATTACAAAAATTTTCGTGCGGCTACGGCCATAGTGAGCCCTTGCTCCGGATGTTCATCCATAGTACTTAGATCTCCGCCAGAATCGATGGACCGGCCACAGCGGCCTTTGCCATCCCCGTGGCCTTCGCGTACCTGACGCCGTGATCTTCACCACGGAACCATCGAACTTCTGTAGAGTCCACCCCTCAAAGGTATTATAAATGCTTGCCTCCGCGTAAGCCTTCAACTTCTCCACAAGATAGGAGATCGCGTAGTCCTCCCCCGCCAAGATGCCTCCGTCGTTATCAGCCCGGAAGTGTACTCCGCCAAAGTCGCGGCCCAGAGCAACGTTCGATGCCAGCTTGTTGAGCTCGCCGTTGACTGTCATGTCAGCAGCATCCGCATCTGAGTAGCTGACCAGATTTTGGCCGTCAACGGACTGGCTTGCCGTCCGTGAGGACGTCACCCACTTTGTCTCAATGGTGCCTGCATCATCGTCGAAAGTCTTGAGCATTGCTTTCAGCACTGTGACGCAGGCCCCAGCAACCGCGGCGTGACCGCCTGGCAGAGTCGGGTGTGTCGGTGAGCCTTCAGGGTACATGACTGCCAGCAGCGCTGTCTGGTTGCCGACACGAGCTTCATTGTCCGCAAGCACGGCATTGATGATGTCAGTGGCCAACTCGATGTTGTTCTTCAGCGCCGCCAGCCCTGGAACGTCGCTAAGCAGCTGCGGTTGCGTGCGAGCCAGCTCATACCGCTGGGCGTATGCTTCCGGGCGGATGCGCATGCCAACTCCCCACTTCTGCCACCACGCGGTACGTAGAGCACCCACAGCGACATGCGCCACGGAGGCAAAGATGTCCGGTGGACCGCTTGTCGTCCATGCCGTCGTGGCTGGGTGATCGAAGCCCTCTGTACCAACACCCTGCTGAAGCGCCACGAGGGCAGCTTGGTAGTAGAGCTGGTACAGTGGGTCGCGGTGCACTACGGACCCTACAACACGCCCAGTCGCTACAAAGGCCGTGCCATTGCGAACTGTGCTTGCAGGGTTCTCCCCGTTCTGCACTGCACGCCACCCATCCATGGTGAGCATGTTGGTTGGATCAAGTTCCACCTCATACTTTTGCTCAACCAGATAGGCACCATATCGATGCGTCTTGTACAGAAACTGCGAGATGTATGGGCCCACAGTCTCGCCCTGCCCTATTCCACGGAAAAGTGTCTTTTCTGTGATAAGGCCAGCTGATGTGGGATGGCTCGTCTTGGAGGGGAACTGGTTCAGCGCACTGATTACCATTTGGACCGTGGGATCTGTGCTGTAGTCAGCGAAAGGCACGTCTCGCAGCAGCACTCTGGCGTAGACCTCGGCCATCTCAAAGGCTGACTCTGCGGAGTCGATCGGGTAGAAAAACGGGAACACGGCAGCCTCTGGTGGAGCTCCTATGTCATTCTTGTTGCGCGTGTTCGTGAGCCCCTCAAGCTTGCGGACACGGTTCGGGGAATCCGAGAGGACAATGGCATCGAGATTGCTTTGCGTGGGCTCCTTCTCTGCAGCCAGTACTTTGTCGACATCTTCCTTGGTTGGGAAGCCGGTTTGCTCGTCATGAGCGAGCGTCTTCGAGAAAATCCACGGGTAGAAGACAGTACCGTTGCGGGTGTAGGTCCGCAGGTCGTAGTAAAGGCCCTCATCCTGGAAGTCACGCTCAATGCCCTTCATGCCACCGCCAACATCTGCACTTTCCGTCAGGCCTGCAGGAGCGCGGGCGTGGTGTGAAGCTAGAACCTTACTTAAAGGTTCATGGGACTTAGTAACTATGGTTATAAATAAAGTAACTATACTTATAATTGCATATAAACCCAGTTAGGGTACTTATAACCGTAGTTACTAAGTCCCATGAACGAGGTGGCTGGAGAAGGGGCGAAGTGACGCCACAGCAGCCGCACCCGAGCTCATCCTAATCCAAACCTCAGCAGCCCGCCTCCCAGCACAGGTGGATGCGCGGGTACGTTCTGCAGCAGCACAGTGTCGTCGGAAGCGCAGCTATTGCCTGCGGCCAAGACATGCGAGGCGAAGGGCGAAGGGTACCTACCTGCACTCTCTTTTGTTTGGCGCTTCTCACTGTAGAACCATCAAAACACATGCAGAACCTCGTCAGACCTGCAAAGATGAGAGTTTTGAAGCTTGATAAAACCTGATGGTTGCTGTAGTTCTGACCGCGTAGCTACCGCTTGTGCGATGAGGTCACGTGGGCTTCATGTAAGGATTGGCTGCAGAGAAGTGTCCCCAACCCCCTGAAGCAGAGTGAGCAGTTTGCAGGTCTTCTGAAGGGTGTCTCCCACGCAGTGGCCCAAAATTGCCGACAGCCCAGCTTGGGCTGGGGGGCTGGTGTTGCGGGTCATGGATTCGAAGTGCGAGGCCAGCCGCGGTCAGAGAAACCTGCATTGAACCCTCACCGTTTCAAGGACTACATCGGGCGAGCCTTGGCAAGCGGCCGCCGTAGCAGCCATTAAAACGCCCAGCAAGCCCCGTAGTGTGGCCATGCTCCTGGCACCGTGCCCAAAGAAAGCAAATTCAAGCCGCCTAAACCTAAGCCCTGCACCAGGCACCGAGCCTCCTCAGCTCTGGAAGCGACTGGAGATTCTTAGGGACCGAAAAGCACATCAGCATAAGCATTTGATGGGGATATCCCTTCCTTTTTGGGCTTCATTATAAGGGGGTTTATGGGGGATATCCCTATACTAGTGTTTGCTTATGTGCCTTTTTGGGGGCCCTACATTTGCCACACTCATAAAAGCGTTTGCAAAGCTGGGAAGGGTCAACTTCTACCGCACCTGGTGATCTCTCCAAAGCCCTCCCAGTATCGAGCCTCACAGGGCGAAGGTCGAAGATGCTGGCACGACCGAGTTTGAGCCGCGATAACTGCCGTCACTTCATTGGAAGGACTCCAGTCTCAGAACATTCCCAGCGGTCGGCAGACCCTCAGCAACACGTGCGGTGCCCACGAATCCCAGAAAACTCCTACGCCGAATCCAAACACACATAACAGATTCCAATATTGCTACGACGAAGCAAAGGACTGGCAGCCTGCATCGCACTCTCTAGGCGAAGAGGTCGGAGACAGCTTGTCGGCCCTGAACGGAAAACCGGTCTTCTCTTGCCGGCTAGGAAGATGCGATTGAAACGCAGTTTCCGATGTGCCTGGTCTGCAATCGGAGTCGGAGGCTGCATGGCGCTGACCAGCGCCTCGATTTGGCAGATGGAATACTCCGGACGTGTCGAAAGTCCGATGCTCGCTGTCCTACCTCCCTCGAGACATCCTCCGCCCCGGCAACATCCAGCACACGGAGGGGAGTGAAGCAAAGTGAGGGAGGGAGAGTGAGAGGGAGAGGCTGAGCTGGCTTCGGGGAGGGCTGCAGATCACAAGCCTCGCTGCCCAGGCTCGGCGTCCTTCGTGGCACGACGGGCACGGTCTCCTTCGCCAGCGCGCACTCTACTATTACTACCATATTTCTACCACCGTATTATTACTACCATATAACTACAAAGGCCCCTTAAGAGTGCCTGGCCCTGGCTTCAGGTCTTAGCTCAGAAATCCGCAGCCGACTCGGCACAAAACGCCTCTGGATGCGATCCTCATCCGAAACTGCAGGAATGTTCATCAGAAGGGGCCAACGTAGGGTTTCCATATTAGGAATTATACTATTATGACTTCGGGGAGTATTCCCCATAACAGTACATAGGACCCTTTAGGTTACACTACAGTGGTATAATAGTAATTACTATACTAGGGCCCGATTATGACCCTTATAGTCACTATTACAGGGTGGGGGCAGCTTCTAAGGGATGCATGTAAACCTAACCTCGACTGTCGAGGAAGTCAAGTGCCGTGGCCAAGCCATGTCAGTAGACAGGTGGACAATTGACTGGTTCTGGCCTTTGTTGGATGGATTGGGGGTTTCCGTAAGACCGTCGTCTAGAGTGCTTCTAGGTCTCACCTGAGGCTCAAGCAGTGTCTTATATCTAGACCTGTACGCCACTTTTCACCGAGTAGCCTCTGAATCAACAAGCGCCGCTGATCTTGGAATCGGAGGCACGCAAGATGTGGAAGAGGCTCTGCACCTGCTACTGTGGGCCTTCGTAGTTAGAATAGGGTTTGGGGGTATACTATACTATAACTACAATAAGGAATCCCCAGAACCCTATTCTAACTATTAAGGCTCCTACACCACAAGGATTTAGGGCTTAAGCCAGAACCCCTGAAAAAACACAAGCCCTAACTGACCCTAAACCCTACTGGACTTTCGGATTCGGGCTTCAACGGCTTTGAGAGCTTTGAAGATGGCCTGGGCGCCAGCACGGGGCATCTGCTGCGCCAACCTGCATGTTCTCATACATGCTACCAAGACCCTAAACCTGATGAGGCATTTTCTTGCAGGCTTTCCAAAGGATTTATCATTAGGGGTTGAGGTTTTAGGGTTTAGGGCATTTGGTGCTTTTGAGGTCCTCGTGCTCTACAAACAAATCTGAAGCACTAGCGTGATGCCCAACGAGGGGAAAAACCGAGGCGGCGGTTTTAGGGCTGTTGCGCTTGGGGATTCATGGGACTTAGGAAGTACGGTTATAAGTACCCTAAGTGGGGTTATATCCAATTATAAGTATAGTTACCATATTTATGACCATGTTTACTAAGTCCCATGAACCTTTATGTGGTGCTTTGCAGCGAACGACTTTATAAGGACTTATGTGCGGGGGGGAGAAAGATTTGACCTGACATTACAGGAGCTTTAGGCCTTTCATGTTAGGGATCCGTTTGGGGGGGTCCGCTGTTGAGCTTTCTGGTGTCCAAAAACTCCGACTTGGGCCACTTCATGACACGGCTGTCGAAGCATGGCGTTCTCAAGAGCATGTTCATTCAGAGACAAACATAATTTGATTAATGCAGCGTCTCTCAAGCTCGAAGCTACTTGGAGGATCATGGGACTTAGTAAGTAGGGTTATAACTACCCTAGTTGGGGTTATAAGTAGTTATAACTGTAGTTACTTTACTTGTAACCCTACTTTCTAAGTCCCATGATCCTTTAAGTAGTCAAAGATCAATGCAAACCCTCAGGACAGCCGAGCGCACTGCGTGCTACCCTAGTGACTGCAAGAGAAGGTCGTGAATGCATCCTAAACCCTGAAGCCTAAAGCCAAAACCCTATGCCTCATCTCGCTCGTGACTTCCTGAAGCTTCCAGCCATGTGCCTGGGCCCAAGGATCTCAGCTCCTCTCCGAGCCCTGGCTCTCATCTGCGACTTCTCCGGAACAGAGTTTAAAGGGAGCCTGCAAGGAAAGCCCTCGGCCCGAAAATGATAGTACTAATACTTGGAGGATCATGGGACTTAGTAAGTAGGGCTATAAATACCTTAATTCGGGTTATAAGTAATGATACCTGTAGTTACTTTACCTATGACCCTACTTACTAAGTCCCATGATCCTCTAAGTAGTAATACTAGCAATTTTCTGAAACCCCCGTCACCTCCCTCGCTTCGACGAGCCACAGAGATGCGGGCCGAGATTTTCTGGAGGCCGGGAAGGCGGCTCGGCCTCAGAAACCCAAGCGTTGCAAGAAGCCTAAGCCCTTAACCCCAAGCCTGAAGGTCTGGTACCCTACACCATAAGCCCCTAAACCCTAAACCATAAAACCATAAGCCCCTAAACCCTTAACCCTTGGTCTTCAAACGTTCCTAGATGAGGTCCTAGAAGGCTTCTCACAAAGTTTCTGGCAAAAGAGGTTCCTTTCAGAGCTCCGATAAGAGTGTCTTCCAGGGAGTCCTGTAAGGGTTCCTATATAAGGGATCCTACAAGACCCGAAGCCCTAAACGCTGAAGGGTTCCTACACGGGTTTCAATACCCAGAGACTCCAACTATACCTTAAATCATATTAGGGATCCTACTCTTTTTGAAGGTATATTCCATAATGAAGGGATACGGGAGTCCCCCAAACTCTAAACCCTAAAGACTCTGTAGATCCATTATAGGAGCCCTTAAAGGAACCCTTATAGATCCCGTTAAAGGGATCTTGGAGTCTCTGGGTACTTGCATCGCCGGGCTCCAGGAACTCGGACTCTGCGGCCCAGCAGCTTCCAGGCAAGTCTCACGGGCTTCTGTGCATGCTGCTCCTGCGAGCGGAATACTTACCTTTGGTTAGTAGGGAATGGAGGAATGGGGTACAATTATAACTACTATGAAAACCATTCCTCCATTCCCTACTAACCAAAGGTAAGAAGATAGGGGCCTTAGTACTTAGAATAAGTTGGTGAGGGGTATATTTTGCTATGGCTATAACAAGGAAACCCCAGAATAGCATTGGTAATTATCTAGGCCCCGTTCGTACAGGATATGGAATTTGATGCGCTCTGGGATTAGCGAGTAGGGCTTCGGGTTTAGCGCATCGGGTCTCCAATATGCTGGCGAGCAGGAAACGCCTGCTTGCAGATCGTGTCCTTGAGGTATTGCAACCAATACAGGTCCAATACAGCAAGCAGCAGCATCCTCAGCGAAGCAATATGTTCTTCGTCGTCGAAAGAGCACACTCGGCCAAGTCTACTCTCTGCCAGACTCTAAACCGTAAGCTTTTAGAATTTACTTGGGGGTTCATGAAACTTAGTAAGTACAGTTATAAGTACCCTAACTGGGGCCATATCCAATAATAAGTATAGGTACCCTATTTATAACCATAGCTACTAAGTTCCATGAACCTTCAAGTAAACCTTCAGCAGCAACCTTTGAACACCAAAAGACCTAAAAAAAACTTGAAGCGCTGAGCGGTGCTTTCTAGGGCAAGCGCTAGACAGCCAGCCCAAGATATTGGCCTTAATACTAATAATGGTGATAGTATTGAAAGCAATGATACTAATAGCTACACGAGGAAATCTGATAGCAACAGTAATAGAAGTGACAATACGTGTACAAGAGGTATTTATGGCACTAACTGACAGTGATTGTCGGCTTCTATTAAGGGTCTTGAATATACGAAGTCTATCCATACCTCCACTAAGTTGGGTTTACACAAAGTTCCGTTACTCCGAACAACGACAGCGCACCTAAACAATCCCAATCGTGAACCTGTGAAACCAATATTCCTACACAGACAGGTTCCAATAGCTTATGTTTAGGTGCTATCTTGGGCCCTAGTCAGTTTGTGAGACTCCTGCATGTCTCTGCCCTTTGGGCAGATCTCCAAATTAGAGCCCCGTTTTTGGTGCCCACTACAATGTCGTACGGCGCCCTTTCAAAAGTGGCCCCCGAAAAGGAGCCTGACTTGGAGAACTGACCCCTGTAGCTTGAGCATCGAGGGGCTGGTTCCCCATGCCCAAAAGGTGGCCAATCTCGGTCAGCAGCCCTTGGGATGGCTTTGGTGTGGGGGCGTGAGGGGATTAGGGTTTAGGGGTTTAAGCGTTGAGGGGTTTAGGGTTTAAGGGTCTAGGGGTTTGGGGTTTTGAGATTTGGGGTATCGGGTCAAGGTCTCATGCTTCAAGGTTTCCTTAAGGTTTCAGGATTTGCTCCATGAGGGTAGTTGTCAAAATTATGGTCCCTTTTGGGGTACCCTAAATATTATATATATATATATATATATATAGGTGCCGGATTATATTCAGGACCCCAAAAGAGGGACCATAATTTTGACAAGCACCCATATAGTTTTATGCTTCAAGGTTTCCTTCAGGTTTCAGGATAGGGTTTAGGGGTGTAGGTTCATTTTTAGGGTTTAGGGTTTCAGGTTTCAGGATTTGCTCCGTTAGTCGAGTCGCCTTTGCGAGAAGGACCTTCAGGCTTCGTATGGCACGGCATGCGTCCCCGGCGAAGAGGCTACTATACGGGCCCTAGTAGTTAGAATAGGGGTTCCTTTAAAAGGGTCCTTAAAGGGCTTCAGAAAGGATCTATAGTAGGGTAATATAGGGGCCTAAATCCCATGCGACAAGGCTAGACTAGGGTTCTTTCTCAAGGGGTCTATAAGGGTTACTGCAAGGGATCTGACAGGTACTCTAATATATGCAGGGGCCTTAATAGTTAGAATAGGGTTTTGGGGGTTGTTATACTGTACCTGTAGTAAGGAACCACCAAAACATTATAGGTAATTAAGGCCCATTGCAGAGCCGCATGGCGGTCCTGGCAATCCCCGTGCCAATCTGTAACTTACATCTTCCCCACCACCGCGAAGTGCCTTAGGTAAAGCTTGGGCGCGATCGGCGAAGGCATCGTCGTGGTACTCCAAGAGGCCCTGCGCAGGAAAGCTTCTGGGACGACGCGGGCACCAAATCGTCTCGTGGCACCTCGCAAATCCAGGCTGCGGGCAGGTCTCGCCGAAATCCACCCTCAACCTCAGTAGCTCTATCGAACAAGGCGATGAGGAAGAACCGTGAGGCAACATAGCTCCCATCGGCAACACTTCTAGCATCTGACCAGTGGCCAGCGCATCGTGCAAGCTGATCGGGCCCGTCAGGTCCACGCCCAACCTCAATGCGCTGCAACTGCACTGGCTGCTCGACTCGAGCTGTGCGGGAACAAGTTATGTCAGTATCAAACCGCACATTCCTCCCGCCGAATCCAACATGACGCCATGAGCCCTGCAGGCACCGACCCAACGGAGTCACCCCAAAGAAAACTCTTCACCAGGTCTCCGGCTGCACAGCTCGGTACGAGTTCGCGGAAAAATACCTGCAGCTGCGCTTCGAAGCTATGGTGAATTTCGACGCAAAGAACTGCACGGCATGAGCATGTGCTGCGATGCTCGTCTTTTTGTGGACTCGGGCTGGAAAGGGCTCGGACTTCGGAAGCTCAGGTTAGGCTGCAGTCTTGAGCTGAATGGCATCGCCTGAGGTAGTTCCTTCCGGGCCGCCCAAGTAAGGCTGTGCATAGACCGGTCCCGTATACCAGTCGTGCTCACAGGCATTCTCTCCGTCGAGGCCGATCAGGCTCTTCAGCGCCGGAGAGAAGGACTGAAGTACTGTGCGTGGAACTGCCCAGTGGAAATTGTGCTCGGATCTTAGCCAACCCAAGTTGTAGATGAAGAGCAGCCCATGTCTCGGCCGCGCATCAGGCGTCACGGATCTCTCGTAGGAGCTGGCTCCGTGCAGGGTGTGTCCACTCCAGAGGGCCACAGAGCCTTTGGGCATAACGGCTTGCAGAGCATCCTCCGGATTGATACCCGCCGGAAGACTGGGCCCTTTCTTGCTGCCATAGCCGTTCAAAGAAGGCTGCCAGTGGTTGGAGCCCGGAAGGAAGCGCGTCGCGCCGTTCTGGGCAGTGAAGTCAGAGGCAGCCCACATCACAGAGATGGAGAGCTCCGGCCGAGATGACTGAAATGGCCAGCCGGAGGCCCCCCACATGCTTCCGTCGCGGTGGAGCACCTGTGCCGGAGCCGGGGACTCTCCGTCGGGTGGTGCCTCCACGGAGATGGCCGAGCAGGTACCGAGGACGACTCGTTTGCACCAGGGCTTCAACAAGCGCTCTACCGCAGCGAGCACCAAAGGCTGAAGGGCCAGTTCCTGTGCGACCTTGGACTCCCCCAGTGGCTTGCAAGCATTTCTCAAGGTGTGGTGGCCCGCGAAGGAGCCCACGGCCCCGTGAAACTTGCCCTGCGCAGCAGCCAGCTCCTCCACCATGAAATCCATGAGCGCCTCGGGGATAAGCCTCTCGATAACAACCACGCCTCTCGCCATGATAGCCCGGGCCACATCCTCCGGACTGGCGGTGGCAGGCAGCCTGGGAATGTCCAGAACTTTTGCAGCCCGCTGTCGCCGGATACGATACAACAAAAGCAGACCGAAGCTTGCCAGAGTAGCTGGAACGAGCAGCCGGATCATGCTTGGGCTTGCCGTGTTCTACTAACCCACCAGACAGACCTGACTACGCTGCATCCACCAATGCATGCAAAATTACCTGCGGCTGTCAAACATGTGGGCTGCTCCAACTTTATCGACCACATGTGGGCATCCCTCTTGAAGCTTTGATCAACAAGGACCGGCGAGAGCAAACGCACATCTACGAGTCTGCCCGGATAAAGCCGAACCTGACAACTTCGTTCTTCGATCTCATCAGCACAATGTGAGCGCCCTGCCCCCACACCCCCTCCCCCCCCCCCACGCCTGCACTATCCTCCCCAATCCCCTCACCCCTCTTTTCCCCAACAAGAGCAGGTGCTCTGAATCTACGTGGCCTCTGACGGAATGCGGCCACGCGAGGAGTGTCTACCTGACAAGCAGATCCAGACCCAGACTGGCCTGGTTTCTCCCGATGCCCACTTGGGGGTTCATGGGACCTAGTAAGTAGGGTTTAGGGCTCCCGTTAAGGATACTATAGGGTTCTATACTGGGGTTCCTTAAAGGGATCTCTCAGGGTTCTAGAAGGGGGTTCATGGGACTTAGCAAGTACAGTTATAAGTACCCTAACTGGGGTTATAACCAATTATGCGTCTAGTTACCTTATTTATAACCATAGTCGCTAAGCCCCGTGAACCTTTAAGCGTGTCTGCGCTTCTTTGGCCCATCGGAGTCAGTAAGAAAGGGGCCTTAGTAATTAGAATAGGGTTTTGGTACCCATTATACTATACTTATGCTAAGGAACCCCCCAAAATATAAGGCCCCTATACAGTATTACCCATTGCAAATAAGGGACAAATCGAATCCTTCTGAACACTCAGCCTTCTCTTGCTGGGTGTGCCGGCTTGAGTGTGATGATGGCAACTGCAGCTCTACTTAAACGTTCATGGGACTTGGTAAACATGGTTATAAATATGGTAACTATACTTATGATTGAATATAACCGTATAACCCCAGTTAGGGTACTCATAACTGTACTCACCAAGTCCCATGAACCCCCAAGTAAGTCTGGAGTCTAGACTTCGACCCGAACATGTGATATAACCTGGGGGTCGTAGTCGTTAGCATAGGGTTGTGGTCCATGCTATGGCCACAGTATAACTGTATTGAGGTACGCTGAGGAGTGGTATTCCCAGTATTCAGGGCCTTAAGTAGGCTGGCTGCTGGCTCACTTCACTCTGCGTACTTGGGGGTTCATGGGACTTAGTAAGTACAGTTATACGTACCCGAACTGGGGTTATATCCAATTATAAGTCTAGTTACCTTATTTATAACCATAGTTACTAAGCCACACGAACCTTTAAGTAGGTACCACAGGCCTCGAACCACGTGGCCTCATGATGTCCCAGGCGCGAGGCCCGTGTGTCGCAGCCAACCGCAAGCTGGACCACCTGACAGCATAACGGAGCTGAATAGTAAGAACACAGTTTTGGTGTATAATATACATATGTCTTGAAAATCGGAATAGTAATAATAATAACAATAATAGCAATAACAAAAAATGAGCATGATGAGAGGCCCATGGGACTACACGGAATAGGTTTACCGAGCGCGCAGTCTTCGATGAACTCGGTGCTTCTGGTCACCGTCTTGTCGGAAGACGAGCGACGAGCTGAAAGAGACAGACGGTCCTGCGGTTGCAGCAAGGTTGCACATACACATGCCGGTTCGCAGCGGTTCAGCATCAGAACTGTTGAAATCTTTGACACTTTGAAAAGGTATCTCGCCACAACGTCGGCCATGTAACTAAACCTGATGCTATTCATGGCGCCTGAGCCTGAGAAGCAGAGTGTCTGCGCAGCCATGCATCCAGTGCCTCGGGCACAAGTTCTGTCAGCTCTGGTGGTTTGGGCTGCAGACCTAAAGCCTATAGCATGTCGGATTCCAAGAGTGGTGTGAGCAAACGCTGTGTTAGCAGCCGGTCAATTCATTTGCCAATCGGTCCATCGAAGAATTCCTCAAAAATAAACTCCAGAACCCCTACCTAAACACCATTAAAAATTCATCTCCGGCTGCTTCGGCCTCGTCAATGATCCGCCCTCGGAGCGACACGAGGTACTGAAGGCCTTTGGCTCTTTGGCTTTCAGATCGCGACAGACGGCATTCACGGTTCACGTCCGTTCAGGTTTGAATGCCACCGCCACCATAGCACTACCAACCCACGAATTCGATAAGATGGAGGTCTTAGTCGCCAGAGTGGCATGCTGGGGTAGGAGAGTAGACCCCAACAAAACCCTACAAACACCCTGCCAGAGCTCTGCATAATTGTACAGCCCTACTGCTACTAGATACTATGCCAACCCTACTGCGTACTACTTATCAAATCCCTATGCGACCCCATAATCAAAAAAACCATGGTATCATCTCAAAAAAATCCTAGACCCCTTATATAAAAAAAGCGTATCATTTCAAAAACAGCTAGGCCCCTCGTGAAGCCCTGTAAACCTGTCATCAAAGCCGAGACGCTCGGAGCAAAGGTCGCTCCACGGAGCTTGGCCGCCTGGAGGAGCTTCCCGCGCTTTGGGGTTCCGGGATTAGATCCCTTAGGGTATACCGTACTTGGAGGATCATGGGACTTAGTAAGTACAGTTATAAGGGTTATATCCAACTATAAGTATACTTACCTTATTTATAACCATAGTTGCTAAGTTCCATGAACCTTTAAGTACTACACTTATAATAAGGAACCCTAGAATAGTATAGGTAATCAATAAGGACCCTATACTAACCCTATCATAATAGATCCCTTATAGGACCCTTTTCAGGATCCCTTTAAAGGGAACCCTACTCTAATAGTATAGGTAAGTATTATGATGGGAGGCCAAAAGGGGGGGTTTAAGATTCTTGGGGTAGGGATTCCTTAATATGAACCCCATTATGGGAACCCAAATCCCTACTAAACCTATGGCTTAGGGTGTCGGCTTTCGCTTGAAGGGTTTAGGGTTTCGGGTTCAGGGTTTAGGGTTTAGGGGTTTAGGGTTTAGGGGTGTGGGGTTTAGGGTTGCGGGATTTTGCCTGAAGGGTAGGATGCTCATACGATCATCATAACATTAGCATAAGGGTGCCTATAAGCGTTACTCACAGGCATTACCATGAGGGTTCCGGGTTTAGGGGCTAGACGGTTTCGAACTTTTTGCTTGAAGGCTCTTTATATACCTCCCTTCCAAGTCGGAATACCACTACTGTGCAGCCACTTTGGCCCTGATGAAGTTTAGGGTTCAGGGTTCGTGCACTTGTATGTTACATATGGGTGGTTGTCAAAACTATGGTCCCCTCTTGGCTCCCTAATAAAATACGGCACCTAATATTTAGGGTACCCAAAAGGGGCCTTAGCTTTGACAACCACCCATATCGAAAGCCAGCAGAGATGGCTCGGAATGTTAGGCAAAGCCCGGAGAAAACCCTGCGCAGTCGGCCGGCCTCGTCGCCCAGTGCCGCCTCCAGCCAAGGACCCACCGTGCGGTCGTCCGAAAATTGGGGTACTGCAATATAGGGGCCGAAATGATTCCAGCTATGAAGGCCCCTGTATTATTGGATTTAAGGTCTCTTGCGACGCAAAGGCCTCAATATCAGCAGCGAGCAGGATTACAGCTTGTTTGTTGTTTGGCGGAAACCCTGTGCACACAGGGCTCCTTGTCACAAGGAGATAGCTTGTGGGATCTGCACGAAGTAGCTTCTTGTGCTGCGATGGGCCATAAAACCCAAAAGCTCCAATACACCCCCAAAGCAGGCTCCAGACCTTAGATCCTGGACTTCTGCCGCTCTCCAGCCGTGCTTTTTTATCAGACTCTTCTGGCCTCGGCCAAAGCCTCTGCCAGTGGATCCCGAATGAGAGGCGAGGCGGTCGCGGACTCCTGAGGGCTTGGGAAAACGCAGTTTGGGTTTAGGGTTTAGGGTCGAGGTTTCCGAAATGCTTTAGAATCTTGAACTGCCCCAGGCACTGCACCCTCTAAAGCCGGATCTTTCTACTCGGTGTCCATGGCACGCCACAGTGCGCAGAGCGCTGCAGATCGCTCGACCCCACGCAGGGCTGCAGCACACCCACGCGCCATGCGAAGCGAAAGCAACTACCATGGACTCATCATGACATGATGGCTCCAGGCTCGGGAAGCAATTTCGGGATTCTGCTTGGGCCAGGAAAGCGAAGATGAGCGAAGCGTTCATGCAAAATCCACACGGGAGGGAAGGCACGCTGATCCAACCTCCTTTGCAGAAGTGAAGCGTCCGAGCAAGACCTTTGGAAATGCATGGATATAGCAGCTGCTTATCTAGCACGGTCCTCGCATAAAGTTCGGCCGCCGGGTGTTTTCCCCAACGACCGAATTCAAGCTTCCCAGATGTTAAGGGTAACACAGTACAGGCGAACGGTGATTGCTTACTATAGGGGCCGTAATAATTAGAATAGGGTTTTGGGGCCCATGATAATTATACTACACCCACAACAATGAAACCCAACAATGGTATGTTCAGACTTGGGATAGCCTTGTGAGCTGCTGGGAACCCAGACAGAAGTGTGCTTTGCTCCCGGGAGTTCATACATGACATCAACGTGTGAAGCTTGCGATACAAAGGGTTTAGGGTTTAGGCGTTTAGCGTTTAGAGTTTAGGGATGAAACCCTTCGCTTAGTCGTTTCTTTGAGCTCATGTCCGTGGTGGCCGGAAGGAGGCCATCATGGGCGTGGATTGGATGAGATGAGTAAGGTGAAGCGACTGCGTGATTGGGTTCACTAGCCATCAGTCAGTCGTCTAATGAGCCCGCTGATTTCTTTCATGCACTCTGCTGACAACAACAAACTGAACCGAAAAGCACGGATCTGCACTACTTGTACCACCCCACTCAGCTGCCATAGCCGCAACGACTGCTAGAGCACCCCTGCTTTCCTCTTTGTTCTGTGGGTGCGCGCGTGTCCTTTGATGACCGCGAGTATAACATCGCAGATCCGGCCTACGAGTGTCCGAGAAATTCAGGCAAGAGATGGCCAGCCAGAAACCAGTGTCGGGGTTTAGGGTTTGGGGCTTAGGGTTTATGATTCGTAGAGGGTTTGGGTTGTAGAGACTTGGCCGATGAACCCAGGTGCAACAAAATCTGTGTGCGGCGACACTGCTCTGCATGTACTTTGAATGGACAGTCTAGGTCGATCTGCGTGGCCGTGCAGCTCATCACGAGGAGGGAGTTCCCTCGAAGCAAAACAAAGCATGTCGAATTTCGGCCTCTCTGCTTCGAAGCAGATAGATTTGCGGTCTTCCTCGACATTCATCGGACTGCTGCGTTTCCGCCAAGCCTGCAAAAAAACGTCGACGCACCAAGAGAGGCCTTGCAAAACTCCTACCAAGACTCACGTGGCCTATACCGACAGCCGGGAGCTACAAGGTATTCTCTGGTGCCTCAGCTCAGCTCGGATTTTGCCCCCTGAGTCAGCAACTCCGCTAGTTCTGTATCCCCCTGAAGCAAGGGCTTCTAACTGAAGTACCTACGATAGACTTCGGCAGAGAAGCACCCTCCAGATTTTGAGATGACCAGAGTAAGCCTGCACTCTTATTCTTATCCCTCTGATTCGGGGTTCAGGCTGGTTTAGGGTTTAGGGCTTAGCCCCAGAGTAGCTCACCCACTCTGTGGCCCTTCCCGCTCACATCGGTACAGAGCACAGGCCAGCACTTCTCGGCACGGCACAGAACGCCCCTTTGTGCAGACCGCGATGGCCAAGCGAGTGCTCACGATTGCTCAACCAGACATGCATTCGTGCTCTCCGCATCTCTCCGTTCTCCATGCTCAAAACTTGCGTTAGACTGATATGGCGCTTGCAAGCTCGGTCGAAGTCCCGGGAACGTGCAACCCCAAACTGGCGACTGGGCATCAGTAATTTACGCGATTCAGCAGGGCGACGACGCTTCATCTTCAGGCTGTCAAGCTCCCGAGCTGCGACTAAGCACTCGTGCACTCCCGGGTCAGTTTGGTAGGATGTCAAGGCTTCAAGCTTCAATCTCACATTTGTTGTGCCTGCGTCTGAGCTGCCGAGGTTGACCCGGGCGGAGCCGCAGAGACGACTTGGTGCGCTCTGCAGCCCACTTGAAGGAGGAGGGGGAAACGAGAGGTAAGCAGGCATCAAAACAGGGGTTGGGGCGTCTTCCCGATCCAACATCGGATCGTGCAGTGTGACGAGCAGAACCTTCTGCATCACGGAGCTGTGTTGGCCTAACCGTGACGTGAACTGCCGAACTTGCAGAAACTCGCGGTCACGGCTTCCCCGGCATCGTTAAACTAAAGAATGATGAAGCTTGTTGGTTTTGGCACATCTCGCTTGATCCTAAGTAGACCCGGTCCAGCTGATCAACAACTCTAAACAATCACTAAGCGCACTTCCCCAGCCTGCTCACCAAACATGGACGCAAGCTGAGATTCTGGCTCCCAAGCTTCAGCGGCTTCCCTGACGCGAAGATGGTTTGAGCTTGTCCCTCCACTTCCCCTTGCTGCCGGTTGTTGCCGTGACCGCAGTGAACGTCGAGGACAAGCCTGTGAGCACGACACTAAGGTGATGCTCTGTATCAATGGCCCAACTCGTCTGATCATAACACCTCCAGCTTCTTTCCGGAGGTTGGGACCTTTCCTTGCATGCGCAGTCTGCAGCTGCAGAGCACCGCACATATCGAGCATTGAAACACTTGAGCATCAAGCCAACTCCCTGCAATTCGGCCGGTCGGGAGCTTCTCAATTAGAATTTAGGGTTTAGGGTTTAGATCATTGATGACTAGAGAAGTGAGTAGCAATTCTCCAGAACCTCCCTAAAACCCTAAACCATTTAGAACCCTAAACCACGCACTGCACCCCAAATCCTAAACCCTAAACACTACTCGCTACACCCGAAACCCTACACCCGACACGCCAAACCCTAAACCCTACACACGACATGGGAGTTTCCGAAAACGGGGGACTCAATACACATCCCTAAATGGTAGGATCCCCATTGTAAGGACCCCAAAATAAGGTACCCCAATTTTCGGAAACTCCTACATTCACTACACTCACTATTCAGGGTCTTTGGCCTCAAGACCCGGCTCTCAGGGCTTTGGGCTGCCCACGGAAATTCTGAACGCGCGAACGTTCTACGCTGGAACACGGGAGCCCCAAGCACCGCATGGTCGTGGGTATAGGGTTTAGGGTTGCAGAAGCAGTGCAAGTTCTGGTGTCTTGTAGAATCGTCATAGAAATGAGCCTCGAGTCCTAGCTCGCCTTGATTTTTGCGACTGCCAAAAACCCAGCAAATGCGCTGAAGCCTGGACAGCTCGTCCTCAAAACCTTTTCACCCTTGACGAGTTGCTTCTGGCATTTTCCCCAGTGTCCCAATCGGTGTCTACTTGTCACGAGTTTGAAACCTTCAACTTCTGCACACTTGGTGTTACGCGACAAGTTCATGCCTTGTAGCGGATGGTGCTTGCTAATCGAGAGGCCTTCCTCCTGCCTCCCTTCATCTCCCTCCTTCCCTCCCTTCCTCCCTTCCCTGCTCCCTGTCCCCCGTGCTTCCTTCCTCCCTTCGCGCCTTGATCCATTCCTTGCTGCTCGGTGTCCTTGCTTCCTTCATTCCTTAATTCCCGCCTAGCGTCCCTCCTACCCCTACTCAATCGCCGCATTGGTTGCTTCCTTGCTTCCTTCTTTCCTTCACGCCCTCCTTCCCTCCCTTCCTCCTTCCTGCCACAACTAGGGCAAGCATTGCGAAGACAACAACTTGTCTGTCAATTTTCGTTTTCTTGCATAAGCACGTATCACAAAGCTTCTGATCGAAACTTCCATGCAATTCGAGACACCAGGTTTAGGGGGGTAGGGGGACATAATAAGGACCTAATAAGGCCTATTTAAGGAAGTATAGTCCCCCACCCCCCCTCTCCCCATGAGTCTATGTCAGCGTGCTAAAGGGCGCTCCTGGGCTACTGAGGCCCCCGTGCTGCTGCAGCCTATGCAAAACCTTCTGCACCACAAGGAAATGCTCCGCCTGGCAGCCCTTGCAACTCATAGGGACCCTAACGGGGGAAAGGGGGGTTGAGGGCCTTAATGCCCATGATAAGGACTTATTAACAAGGCCTTGAAAGAAGCATGAGCAAACCTAGCATGACGAACTATGGGTTCACAAAGGGATGCTGCGAGTCTCCGATAACGCCTTGCACTTCGCACTGTCGGACTGAAGCACTGCTCGCGGCTAGTGGACAGGGCAGCTTCTTGGCGTCCGCTGCTTTTTCAAGGGACGCTGCCAAGCGTCGCGGAAGCAGATGGTGTATTCTGGCAATGGTACTGACTCTGCCTCCTGTCCAGAGATCCTCATGATTTTCAGCTAGACGAGAAAGGAAAGGCAGATAAACAGATTTTTAGCGAGGTGGACAGCTGCAAGATATGGCAATTCAAAAAGCCAGTACCAGGTTGCACGCGCAATCGTCCCCTGCAGGCAAACTTTGCATTGGCATTCGGTCCTATCAACTTTGCATGGAAAGGCCGAATAGGGCTGATAGAGCTGGCTTAATGTAGGAATACTATTTTGCTGGCTCCTTATTATGATAGAAGCTACAATAGACCCCGAAACCCTATTCTAACTAAGCACAAATTATTAAGGTGCCTATAGTACCTCAATTTATGACAGGTCTGCCACGCTCGCCAAAAACCCCCATCGGCCCTCCCCCTCGGCGTTGCTACAGGCCTATTCGACAGGATTGAGAATGCAGTGAGAATGGGCGTAGGGTCTTAAAGGGTTTGGTGTTTTGTTTTAAGAGTGGCGCACTTCTCGATTTGAGGGTTTGGGGTGTAGGGAAATCCATGTGCAGGTCAACTGTGCACACCGTGTGATGCGGATGGTCGAGCTGCCTAGCATCAAAAGGGACAATGTGTCATTCTCCACCCTATCCTGTCTGGGCAAGGCCTAGCACAAAATGAGAAGCATGGGTTTTCGCACTCAATTTAGGTTTCGTGGGTTTCCAGAGTCATCCAACGTGACAGGCACTGTGTTTTCCATCTTTCCCCATGCCTCGCCTATACGGAAAGAGTCTGCCCCCGCGGCTGAGACCTCTTTCT